AAAAAAAAGGCAAAAGTAGTACTACTAAAGATAAAATAACAATTCAGGAATAACCATTTACGATATAAAATGAATTGACAGGCTTGTAATGTCCCAGACTCAAATTTAAACTTTTTTTTCTTATTATTTTCAGATAGCAATCACATCATATCCAATCATATGCATATCCTCCAATAATAAAAGGAATGAATGCAAGTCTGAAGAAAATATTATTATGTCATTATGAAAAATGTCTTGAGATGTTAACTTACAATTTCAAGCTTTCTTTTGGGGTTACTAATAGTTATATAGGTGTCAGATGCTGAAAAATGGGAAGGTATTAAAAGCTATTCAATTACTCAATGGGTTTGCACCCACGAATTCAAGAAACTTTTGAAAAGTAACCAATAAATCCTCCATTGCTTACTGTCCAGGTACATTAAAGTGTAATGTTATTTTTTGCATGGCAATAAGACAGAAAATACTTGATAAAGCCATATGATAAAATACCAGTTAACACATTTAAATATTGTGGAAGTAAAGAATGTTTATGTTGTTATTATTTAAGACAATAGTTTACTCCAGGAGTCAAAATAACTGCTCATCAATTTCTAGATGTGCTGAAACTTTATTGTTAGTGAACAGAAAGTTTTAATGAGATGTTTTAATTTATAGTTATACACTATCTAGACTGTTTGTGTTCCAATACCTATGTAACTAACACTTGAAGTGCATAACTGGCAGGTAATAATAAATTGTTTAAATCAGGGATATAAATAATGATATAAAATTACATTCACTTGAGGGAAAGCTATCACGAAGATTACATTCTCTCATATAAAATTGCATTTCCTCATGAATTGTTTTTTTTACTTAATCCATGCAGTATGTTCACTTTCATTGGTCATAGCTAAAGGAATATGGATGGATCATGTATTCCCGATTGATAAAGACAACTGAAAAAATGAAATTTCTCAGAAATGTAGGAATGTAATATTTCGATTCCTGTTAAATATGAAACTAATTCTGTTTAGTTGTTCAACACTCCAAAGCATAGATGCCCCTCTAAATAATGTCATATCAAATATACTGCATTCAGTTTTTAACTCTTATTGTTGATTTATGATCAAAATCAAACTGTAATAGATAGAACAGAAATTCCAGTAGCTCAACTGGTGGAGTATCAACTTCAGTACTAGTGGTGAAGTGTGATTCTGGTGCAAATTTCTGTTCAGGATAGGTTTCTCAATATCATAATATGTCAAGACACCTGGTATATATCAAGCAGTCAAAACACACTGTAGGACACACCATGTGTTATTAATAGGAGTGATATTTTAGCAATTTTCCAATTTCTGTATCTCGAACTGTAGCAATCCAAACTATCATATATTTTTAGAGGATGTGCTATACTGGACCCTTACTTCACATACCAAATTTCAAGGCAATTGGCAATCCATTAAGAAATATGAAATATAAAATTTACAATTTTGATTGAAGTTCTTCCTTTTTTTTTTTCTTGCAACAAAAGTATGGAAACTATTTGATAGAAAATATACTTAACATTCATGGATTTTTTTTCAAATTTAATACACTGATAAATCTTTACAACCTTCAATTAGGTGTCAAATTTGGTCTAAATATAAGCCAAATTTGCAAAGTTATTCAACAAAAACCGCTCAATTTTGACCAAAATTTTTGTGCACGCCTATGTAAAAAACCACGTTAGCTATCAGTCTGAAAATGTTACTACAGCTTCACCTAAGAGTAAAGGTAAACTGTTTTTAGTTTTTGTCATTTGGATTATAGACAGGTGATTCAGAACAGCAAAATTATAGGGTGAAAACATATACAGGTACACAAGTATTGGTTAGGCCAAGCAAACTAGCTTAGCAGTTTTTAGTTCAAGTTTTCAAATGAATCATAAGGGTGGATGATTATTACTCATTGCTAACTTTTAAGAACAAGTTTTTGGCAATCCCAATAGACCAGGCACATGCACAAGAAAACTGCTAAGTAAAAAGTTATGAAAGTTGTTTATTGGACTCATAGAAAACCTGGTTGCATTTCACTGTTGAATACTTTTGGGTCCAGAATTGTCCAGGTTTCAGAAACACTTTGAAGAGGAATATCTACCTGATGATAACCTAGAAAACCCCAAGAACTTCAAAAATTATGAGCAGAGTGCTTCTGCACTGAAGAATTTTCAGAAGCATGTGAACAACTTCACAGAAACTGTAAATAAAATGGGAAATATGTGTGGACAATCTCTCATAGATGTTCTGTTTATTCTGGAGGACACAGGCAATCCAAAGTATAAGAAATGTTTAAAACGTACATGATGATCGAACAAGGTTTATCACAGATATAATCAAGAAGAATAATCTAGCACTCTTTAATAAACCTCAACCTAAAACAATTTCAGTACAAGGAAAGAAAATGTAGCACTGTTTGGTCCATTGTATATTTCTATGCAAAGTCATGATGGTGATTTGAAGTTCTTTGCCCATGAGATACAGTCTTTCTCACCAGCCCTCTCAGATTTTGGAAAGCTCTATTTGCCAAGTATTAAATTTGATCTGAAATGCATTAACTAAATTCAATGTCTTGAGCCTCCAGAACACTTCAATTGTAAGGTTTTGTATGGTGGACACAGATGTTGCTGTTATCCTCATTGGAAAATTCCACCACATCAAAGTAACTCAACCTTCGTCTGACATCTGGGTCGCATTCAGTGCGAGTAAAAATTAGATTCTTCAGTATTAATGCAATATGGACCAGAAAGATCAATAGCACTACCAGTATTTCATGCCATAACTGGATGCGATAGTACATCAGCATCCAAAGACAAGGGCAAGAAATCTGCATGGCTGGCTTGGCAAGCCTTTGAAGACATCCCTGCAACACTTATATTTCTGACCACACATATGTTTGACTGAACCAGTAACCAATCCTCTGTAAATCAAGCATGAAAGGAACTATTTAGTATGACAAATCTATCCACGGACAGATTGCCACCTACCAAGAATGCACTACTTCAACATTTACACTGTGCAGTATATCAAGCCAGGATATGGACAACCAGCATCCACTCCCATTACCAACAGAGTTCACATGGACAAAGGTGTCAGGATCATGAGTACCAGTTACTAGCAAATGGAAATACTAATTACACATGATGAAATATAAAGATATCTATTTCTGCAATAGCCTTATGACATGAGGATTTCTCTTCTTATCTCAATGGAATTGTGTCTTCAATAAATATATCATTTATCCAAATGTTTCCTAATAGTTATATATCCTGAATGGAGTGAAACAGTATGGTAGCCCTAGTATACATGTGTATTTTGTCCCTTTTGAGCAAAATAGAATTGTTCATTTGTACAGTATACAAAATCATGTTAATGATCAACTTGGTTACAGTCCATTTAAAAGTTTGAGCTTATGTATTGCTTTATGGTCCCGATATATGATATCAACCAATCACATCAATACTGGGTAAGGTTTGTAATCTCTGAGTGGTCTTTTTATCACTGACATATATGATAAACTTGCATTGTAATGCAGACAAATGATCTTCTGTTTAAATTTATTCACTCAATAAATCTAAACAATTAGTGTTTGTTTCTGTCAACACATGTATACCACTTTTTGAAGGAAAATAAATGTTGAGTGGTGGCCATTTTGGATTTGGTGAATTATACAGAAATGTGATATATCTCATGATAGCTCCTGTTCTAAAATTGATCGGTATCACTAAAAGAAGCTTTATGCAATATTTGGTACTTTTATCTGCTCTGTAACAATAACCCCAAAACTGATTCTAAGCAACTTGACTATAAAGTAGCTTACCTACACACAGGAATATATATAAGCATGAAACAAAGAAGTTACTTATCTGGAGACTGCTTAAAGCTTCATAAATGTATCTTGTTTCAAGTTATTGACATTTGGTTCTTTGTTAAAATTAATTTTTAGAAGATATACTATGGATTTATTGACTTGCAATGTTTTTAAACATAAAGGTTATTTTCTTTATTATGTTCACCAAATAAAATAAAATAATCATCAAATCAAATAATTTTAGTTAAATTTACAACTCAGTGAATATGTTAGGTGAAAAACTATTCTGATGACTCATGTTATCTTTGAATATTATTTTTATATTTATCCTACAGTATAAGTATGTAAGTTAGTTAACTGGCTACTTATTTATTTGTAATTGCAATTGTGATATCTTTTTCATAAGACAATATTACCCTTATCAGTGATATTAAGACACATTTTCATTATTTAATTATAAGTTTATATGAGTTACATAAGAATGCTAATCAGTGTGGAATTACTGCATATTTGAAAAGCAATCATAATGGTGACTGTATGTTGCTACTTGGTCAAGATTAATGATTCATTCACCAAACAGGAAATATCCAGGTCAACTTTTAAATGTTTTTTTTTGCAAAATGCACATTTGGTGATTTTCATATGAAACTAATGTTAATTCAAAAAGTACTTTAAAAAAATAATGCTACTGAAAAGAGTATGTTTAATATCATATTAAAATAAAGCAGTGGTTGAATGACCTATCACACACCTGTTTTCTTTTTGTGCTTATTCGGGGAGGATGTACCTATCAATTAATCAACTGTAATTGATTAGCGAGTCTGTCAACTAATCATGTAGAAAATACCACTAACTGCGTGGCTCTTGTTTTAATTACAGATTAAGCTATATTATGGCAGTGATGAGTAGGTTTCACAGAGCAATCACATGATTAATAAGATGGAGAGAAATATATTCTATTCTAATTATTAGAAGCAGTGTATGCTAACATACTAAACATTTTACTAAAGCCTGTTCCTAAAATTTAATTTAACCTAAGTTTAGCACTATCCTATTTATGTGGCTAACTGCCAGATCTATCACGTAAAAAGTCACTTCTACCATACTGAAATAAAGGGAAAGCAAAAATCTATTTTCTCAAACATGTAAAACCTTTAAAACTGCGAAATACTGACCTCCTGAACCTTCTGATACAGGTCCTACACCTGAGCCAAATGTATCCTCATCATCCCATCCTCTTCCAATTGAATAATCAACATCACCATACACAGAACCATCTCTTATCTCATAACCCTAAAGTAAGATAAATCACACTTATAATTTGAACATTACACAAAGTAAGCACTCGATCATTCCACAAGGAAAAAAATTCAACATACAGCCAGTGAGTCAAAAGTTTGTAATTTATTAAAATTCTCTTGTAAATGACTGAAAATATAGTTATTAAAAATATGGTAAACTTTTACTATAATCAAAACTCAATTATATAATCACCTTACAAAATAACACAGTCAACAATGGACCATATGTTCTTCAAGGTTCTCCTTGAAGACCCATCCTTGAGAAGAGGTAAAAATTTAAAAAGACTAGCATGTAATGTCTTTTAAACAATGTATAGGATGTTAGTTTAATATAATTTATTTGTTCATGCACACAATTCCACATAAATAAATGACCAAGAGTATGACTTATATAAGCTAACATGTCTGAACCATTTTGGTAAGCCCTAGCTATGAAATTTACTTTTGATTAAACACACACACACACACATATAAGATTAGGCCTATTCTATGTATTCAAAAAATTTAAAAGTTACAACCTGTAAATGTCAAAACCATCAACAAATGTTACTTAGACAGTTAAGTATCACACACTGAAGTACTAGTGTATTTATATCGTCACAAGTTAAAACTATGTCACTGATTTAAAAGACTGGTGTAGCAGAAAACCTTATACTTCTTTCAGCAAGACTATTTGTATGATATTTATACCACGTGTGAGTAAGGCTATTTGGTAAATTTACATACTCAATGACAAAAATTGTGAAGAAGTAAAAACTCAGCAATCACTTCTTTGGGTGGAGGAATTCCTAACTTCAAAGGATGGAATGTGACCCTTAAAAATTATTATTGCTACCTTCTGAATGAACTAACTGTACATCTTCGATGATGAGGAACCCACTTTGAGACTAATAATGCTTGGAGATGGCTTGAATGAGTAATGAAGAAAAACTTTAATATAAGTTTAATATAACAGCAAATGTACAATGTTTCGACAAGGTTTTGTCATCATCAAGTACCTGATGACGACAAAACCTTGTCGAAACATTGTACATTTGCTGTTATATTAAACTTATATTAAAATTTTTCTTCATTACTCATTCAAGCCATCTCCAAGCATTATTAACTGTACATCTACATATTTGTTTTAGAGAAGTTACTTTCGTATGATACTGACACTGTCTGCATTATTTGTGTACTTTTTTTTTATTTGTGTTTAAGCCATTTGTTATTAATATCATTTGTTAAAAATTTGTATGACAACTATTTTTGTGAAATTATACTATTTTAAGCATGCATTTGTAATCTATCTTTGAATAAAACTATTTGTACAGTATCTACACCATGTAAAAACAGTACATAAAATTGTCTTACAAATTTATGGGATTCATGGATATATATCAATGTTCTTACTTTTTTCAGAACTGGTTTAAAATCAAATTTTTAGAAACATGAAAAAGCCACATAACATACAACCATTAATATGATTCTCTCACCAAAATAAACCTAATCATTCACATGATCTATTCACTTATGGAAAGGTTAAGTAATGATAACCAACAATACAAACCATATCATCATACCATACAATTCTACAAGTTAAAAGCTGTTAATAAATATATACAACTTGATGAAATTACATCCCCTGAAAAAATGTGTTTCCTGTATACTTAAAAGGTCAGACAGAGAAAGCATACCTTTGATGCTAATACCAGCTTTTCACTGTACTCCATGAAACACAAGGGATGTAAAAGTAAAGTATTAAGTGTTCACTTTAAAAGCTGCATCCAAATTCCTTGTTGTGTTTTATAAACTTATGACTAACTAAATTTATGAATTTCCATGTTTAGAATACCATTTACACAATCAGAACAGTGGGGATTATAATAATGTTTTATACAGTTCATTTTACTGGGGTCCACTGAAATTGGACTCCTTTCTAGTGGACTCCCTCAGTGACCAATGCTTGGACCTATGCTTGTTCTTATTTACATTAATGATATTTCCTAGGGCATAACTAATAAATTAGTAAAGTTTACTGGTGGCACTAAACTTTTCGGTACTTATAGCTGTATCGATGATGATGTGGTATTACAAAAAGACTTGAATCAATTGTTAAGTTGGACAAATATTTGGTATATGACCTTTAATTATAATAAGTGCACATAACCCATTTTGATTATCATAATTTTAATTACATATTTAATATAAATAGGAGCCCACTCAAAATCATGAATAAATAAAAGAATCTCAGCATAGCAGTGGATAAATAACTCAAACCATCAAGTCCAGTGTTCTGTTGTTAGTTGTAAAGCTAATAGAATTTTAAAGTGTGTATTTATAGCCACACTGATTACAAGTCAAAAGAGGTAATTATCTTTCTATACAAAACATTAATTGTGTCTCGCTTTGAATACCATGTACAGTTTCAGGCTGCTTGTCAAAGAAAGGATATTGACATATCAGAAAAGGTTCAATGGAAGGATGGGTTAAGATCTCTTATTTTCTATTAATAAAGAAAGGGTAAGTTGATAAAAATTATCCTTGGATTGATTCCTAAAAGCATCTGATTTCTCTGTGCTATATTCTAGAGACAACAGAATCAGATGGCAAGATTAATATTTATAAAAGACATGATAGGCACATGCTAAGAGAGTTTATTTTCTAATAAGTTGAGTGACTTATTGAATGAGATGCATTCAGAAGTAGATGAGGCAACCACTTTACGGGAGTTTATGAGGTGAGTCAATTATTTCCTGGAAAGCAAAGGATGCATATAGATTCTTACTCTTCCCAAGGATAGATGTGAATGGATAGCCCTGAAGGATCAAATGGTCTTTTATTGTTCACATGTTATATTCTTTCCAAGTTTTAAGCTAATATCCAGAAAAGTTTTTTAGTCAAAACCTCCAAAATGTATTATGCTATAGGGAAATGCCACTAAAAGTTAACATTTTGTTAAATTTAAAATGTATTTCCAATAATACTTACCTCCACTCACACTACAGTTATTAGTATTACTTGAGGTAAATATGTTTGACCATCTCTCTTTTAATTTTATAATGCATCCAATGCCTCAAAAATGTTTACTGCAATGGGGCACAACCCATGAGCTCTCAGATTCACAGTCTGGCATATTAACCACTAGGTCATGCTAGTCCACTACTACTAACATTTACTCATTATATCATGTGAAGTTAACGTTAATTAGACAAAATGCTAATGTAAATCAATAAAAAAAATGCTAAAAAATAAATTTTACTTAGATTTATTCGACTTTGAATTAAGCAGAGCTTTATCTTAAATTAAAAATAGGTCACCAGTATAAGTATAACACTACAGTTTACCTAAATATCTTTAAACTGTAAGTTGAACAATATAATCCATGTTAACCATGTAACGTATTAATTATATTATGACTCTCAGTCTCAATCTAGAGTAGAAATAAAATGATACAAGTTATAACACCATTAACAGTGGTGAAAGTAATTTTCGTAACTGAAACTGTGAATGCTACCCCTGTTTTAAAGTTTTATTACTTACTGCATGAGTCTTCAATCTTCGATTCAGACTAAGTTTTCCAACATTAAGCACACCCTGGCCAGGCTTACGGGAACTACGAGCATTAACTACTACTAGTAGTGGCAGTATTGCTAGTGTTACCACTAGTACAGCTATGGTTGTTGGTATCACACCATTTAGCCTTAATAAAATTGACATGTTGACGTATCGTAATTTTGATGAGACGCAATCACGTACCCTTAAAGTGATGCGGATAAATAAAATGAGTAATATTTTGTAGGTCACTAAGTCTAATGCATGATTTATAAGAGCCTTAACAATAACAGTCTCGAGGACTCGACTAATTTAGGCTTAACCTTCTTTAGTCTAATAATATCTTCTTAACCTTCCCTACATGGTGTTACGTCATGTTATTAGTTTAATGCGCATTTCACTCTGCCATCTCTAACATAGAGAGATGTTAACTTGAATCCAGATCAGCGATTGCCTCAACGACTTGAAACTATTTGTCCTCCTCGTGTTTCTTTTTTAATTGGAGTTTTAATAATATATTTTATCAGAATAAACAAATTCAGTAGTCACTTATTTCGTTGATCATATCTTTAATATATTAATGATATATAATTGTGTAATATAATAAGGGCCGGCGCAACGTATTTTGCCAACCTGTGCAAACACTGACTGTGCCGCCCACTCACTAATGAATTATCCGTGAATCGCGACATCAGTAGGCAGTGTTATCTTATAGCTGTATGCTTTACCACAGAATGGCAATTTTGCCCGACAAGAAATTTTTCACTCGGCCAGAAAGCAAATGGTGATCAGAACCATTTTTTTTATTATTCATTTTTATCGTCCCTAAGAACCTGCCGCCCTGTATAAATGCAAGTGCTGCAACCCCAGTCGTGAATATATTGTTGCGTCAGCGAGTCACATGACCACCGTGACGCAATGTTTCTAGAACTATCATGTACTTTGGCGAATGTTCAAGTTCTTACTAGATATAGGGTAGGCGGATATATATAAGAGGGGAAGGTAATGTGTGGATAGATAGTGAGTAATTGAACTGCAGTCACACGGTATTGTTGAAGTTAACGTTCGTTCGGTACAGTGTTGTTTTAGCGCGAGTATTGAGATTAAGTGTATCGCAGAGTTATATTCGGAAAGAATAAACCAGTTTTATTAAGTAAAAACGTGTGTCGCTTAAGTTTCGTCGGAACGAAGTTACGGAAAATTAATTAACAAACGGAGACGTAACAATATCTTCAGAAGACTAATTCTACGTGTATTAGAAATGCTCCAAGATAAACTTTCCTTGAAACGGTTTACTTTATTTTTTATTACAGTTCAAATGATGCTAATTAAACGTGTTTAGCGACAATTCCGTAGTGTAATTTTCCGTAAAACAAACTGCATATGTGGTGTTGCGTCAGCGAGGTCACGTGACTAGTATCACGCCACCTCCTTCTAGAAATATCCTGTTCCTTCGTGAATTGTCGAGAGACTACTAGATTGGGGGTAGGCTGGTATATATAAGACGGTCACAACGTGACGGAACAATGAGAATTATAGCGTTTGTTATAGCGCGACTGTTGAAATTAAGTGTTATTCGGAAAGAATAAACCAGTTTTATTTAAGAAAGGACTTGTTTCGCTAAAGTTTCGTCGGAACGAATTTACGGAAAATTAACTAACGAAAGGAGACGTAACAGTGATATTGTTAGGTCGAACTGAATTCCTGCAGGATGACAAGATAGGTCCGCAGAATGGGAGATTCAACCAAGGTATTCGTTACGAGGGGATTATAATTTTTCAGAGTAACATAGTGTAAAAGAAATAACACAACGAACAACCTTTACTGAAGCCACAAACACAATATGTGTATATACAGGACATGTCGGACAGTCGCCTTTTTAAGGAGAGCTAGATCTAAACTGTTCTTCTTTCAAACTTGTTCTAAAGTGAACAAATCGTAAGTTTCTAGTTAAACCCGAAACGTCAGGCTTATCCAGAATAACGAGCACTACCCACTTGACCGATCATTCCCATTAGAAATAAGGAAGTTCGTAACCTTCCGATAACACCTGACCTATTATTGAACGAAACTGCAGTCTACTTTAATTCACAATCCGTAACTTTAGCTGTATTCACCACCCATCCCATTAGCAGACTAGGTGTCCGCTCCTAGGAACGACACACAAGGATAGGTAGCTACAGCGAAAGTAACTTAATTTTCTTGATCATAGTTGTGAAACTGCATGAACACCCGAATAACTGATAAATTTTGAAAAATCCCATATTAAGATAAGAACGTAGAAAACGCATACATTATTTCTGCATATCACACTTTCTCCCTCTTTCACTGCAGATTTGTCCTTGACCCAACGTTAACTGTAAACTTGAAAGCGAATACATCTATATATATATATATATATGCACTAATGAAGAAGTACTGTAACTTTCTCTTGCCCCTGTAAACAACCGCACCTCATCCACACATAACTGGAATGACATCAGCTTAACAAAGAAATACAATGTAACGGACTAAAACAAGACGCTGCTACAACTTGGTTCGAACAAAAGCAATTTATTAAACTTTATCGACAACACAAATTCAAAATAAAACTTTAAAACAATTAGAACACAAATCTTATCCCTTACAAAAAAAATAATAATAAATAAATCCGTGCGTGGCCAGAACTTGAGATAAACAACACAAATATCAATGCTATTAATATTGTTGCGTCAGCAGTCACATGACTACAGTGACACAACGTTTCTAGAATTATC